TTTGTACTCATTTCATGTGTTTATGGCTACGTTTTGCTATTTATTTCCATTTATTTTGGCCATTTATAATGTCCATGTCTATGTTTATACTGATACTTGTTTCCTTGTACTTGCTGACAAATTAAATAAATAAATAAAATAATAAATAAATAAGTAAATAAATAAATAAATAAATAAATAAATAAGCGAAGGGGGGTTGGCGGGATGTGTGAACCGGATCAGAGTTTGGCATTCAGGGGAAAGAGGTGGGAGAGTGGCAGAGGGACAGAGAGGCATCTTTAGAGATGTGTGTGCGGGGGGGTTTCAGTGATTTCCCACAATTTCTGGACAAACCTTGATAAGAGACTTGCAGAGCTTTGTGGTTGTGTGTTCAGAGGATGGAATTGGTGACTTTGTATCAGCCGGATCTCCAGCCTGGGATTCTCCTTGGATGCATGCTTGCTGTCAGCTGCCATAGTAACGGGGGGGGGGGGGCACGGCATTTGGGTTGGGGGGCTGAGCTGGTGAGGTGGAGACCCATCTGAACTAAAAGGGAGGTTTGCTCTCATGAATGACTGCGCTGCTCAGTGGAGTTGTTTACACCCAGTCAAGGCCAACCGTCCTAGGACTCCAGGTGGACGAAAACACCTGAAGATGTGCCCCACACGACACTATGTGGGACGGGGATTGGACTTTCAGCCTGGGTCCCTGGGGGGGGGAGGGATGGGATTTGGGGAAAATTTCAACCTGTAACTTTCAAGCCTTTTGAATCAGATCTTGCCTTGCTTTTGCCGCTACCATCTCAAACTCAGTAAAAGGACCTTTTCTCTACTTCAATGGAGTCGGGGGGGGGGGCTTTCTCGGGTTTTGAACGGAGGCAGGCCTGACACTTTGATTCCCCTCCTCCCACTTGGAGCCTCAGAAATGGCTTTGGATGCTGGTTTCCAGTATTCCCAGTGAGGCCATGGCTCAGGATACTGGGGCTGCTCCCCAGAGCAGAAAGGCTGGGCATGAATCCCATAAAACTGAAGAAGGGGGAATGTGGCTGTGACCCTCCCTGGGTTCCCTTCTCTCTCTCTCTCTCTCTCCTGCCAGGTGTTGGGAGGAAGAATGGAGGCTTCACAGGGCATCCCAGACTTTGCTCAATGTTGGCTTAGAGAGTTCTTAGAACCAACCAGGATGGCTTCCAAACCAGGATCAGGGTCTTAAGAGTTATTAGTCAGTCCAATTAATTGTGGCACTTCTGATGGCCATAACAAATCACAGTTTCTGCATTATGCAATCACTGGTGGTCTCTTCAGGTGTGCTTGTTCTTTTCCAAAATGGAGGCAACATGTGGAGAGTTGTTGGTCTGCATCCGTGTTTTTCAAACTTTAAGATGAATGGACTTCAACCCCCAGAATTCCCCACCCAACAATGCAGGGACTTCATCATGCTGGCCAGAAAATTCTGGGAATTAAAAGTCCATTCATCTTAAAATTCCAAGTTTGAAAAATGCTGGTCTACATTCTTCCCTGCTATAAGGAGTTAAAGTCCTGCACCAAGAATTGGCTAACTCACACGTTGCTCAATAAGCCAGACACATTTTTTTCTCCCTCTCTCTTCCGGACAATCCCAGATCCCCCTTGGAAGACCCAGCCCTGCATGGCTTCTCCCCCACAGGAGCCTCTCCTGGAAAGACACGGAGCCCAAGGGAAGCTGGAGAAACCCCAGAGGCTGCGTCCCCCCAACATTCAACCCTGGGACCCATAAACCAGGTTAGTCTCTTCCCAGTGTGGGAAGCTTCCCCTCCCCCAAAGAATGAAATATTTTGGGAAATCTGAAAAAGGCAGAATATTATATTTCCTTAAAGGAGAAATAGAGAAAGAGGCTTTTAAAGACAGAAAGCAGACTTGGTCTTTAGAATTCACCCACCACCATTTAGCAGAAGGCACAGAGCTCACTACATGGCACAATTTCCTAAGGGCATTTCAGGCATTGCCCAACCCCTCCCCTCCCCCCCCAGCAGCATTTCAGGACCTGCATAAAATCCTGGCATTCGTCCAGCTAGTTGTTCAGCTGGTCCAGAACCCTGGTGGTTCTGCTTCATCAATCAATGGACCTTCTTCCCAAGGAGCCTCCATTTTATTTCCAGCGTCTTTCTCCGGATTGGAACTGAACCAGATGGATTTTCCCTTCCAACACCAGGAATGGGGGGTGGAGGGTGGGGAGCTGCCCCAGATCCCCTCCTCCTTCCTGGCCATCCTGGGCCTTCTCTATGGGTCTGGGCTTTGCTTTCCCCCTAGTGCCCCATACATGGAAAGAAGTGGCAGTGGAACATGGGATATGGTCTCCCCTGTTTCCAGGACTCAGAAGATGGAACCTGGAGGGAGATTTTGCTCTGCTTTCCTTCCCCAACATGAGGCTTTCCAGCTTCCTCTTCCCAAGAGGGGCTCCCCACTCATCCAGGCAGAGTCCTGTCTGGCATCCCTGCAAGAGCCCCCTTGCCTGGCCTGGGCATGGGAAAGGGTGGCAGGGGAACATGGGACATGGGCTTCTGCATTTCCAGGTCTCTGAAGATGGAAGTTGGATTTTGTAGATCAGCTTTCCATCTCCAACACGAGGGTCCTGAGCTCCCCTTCCCTCCCTCCCCTCCCCACATGGGCTGAGAGGCAGCCTTGATTTCTCCATCTCTTTTCACTTGGTTTTTTTCTAACGTCCCTCTCTCTCTCTCTGATTTTTTTTTAACTCTGCAAAGTTTAAAAAACTAGTTTTTCACTAAAGTTGATTTTGTTCTTAGAGCCTGGCTGCACTATTGCATCAGCCCTTTTCTGCGATGCCCTTGAGCATTAGCTTTCTAAATAAAGTAAATTTTGGTTCCAACTCAGCTGGCAGCTATTTCAAATCTGTGACATGCTCTGGTATTAACTGCCCCCCCCCCGCCCCACAAGTTTTGTCTTTCATCACTATGCAAACAAATATCAGATTTATTTATTTCTTCAGCCACAGGTGCCGTGTATTCCCTGCATGGAGCTCCCAAACCTCTCAATTCTAGATGACCGATTTAATTCCATCTCTGCTCCTGTTATTTTGAATCACATGGGGATTATTTCCCTTTCATTTCCCTCCAGAGAATTTCCCAACAATCTTTGACTGCAAGAACTACTTGAATTATCCAGGGATCCCTCCTGAGAGGGAGAATTATGGTAAAAGTTTCAGCTCTGCTGTTTGGCCGAATCCTCCAGGGGAGACTTTGGGCAGAGAAATACGGAGTTTGGGGACAGGCAGAGTCGGTGCTCTTGAATGTATGTCTCCCTCCTTTCCAGGTGAAGCTGAGTATTTCTCTGTGTTGAGAAAAAGCAACACCTTGTGAGAGTCCTTTGATTCTTCTAAATCTTCTTTAGAAACAGAAAAGGGATTCATTGATTCACCCCATGAATGATGGACCTTCTGCTTCTGCTTCTGATGCTGCTTTTGTCCCATCCAGTCTCTGGGAAGCTGAGAATGAAATGCCCGCTGAGTTCTGAGAACCAGGATGGAAAACAACCAAAGAGCTACTACAGACCAGGAGACCATCTAATCAGTATAGTCACCAGTGGAAGGAAAAGATTACATACAAAGTTGCTTTTCAATGTGGCTCCTTCTCTTCAGTTTGTTTTCCATGATCCGTAAGTCATTCAGGGTGATGGAGTTGCACTCCCTCCATTCTAACACTCTCCTTCTTTTCAGTTTTTTATTTCTTCATTTATTCCTATATTGGGGAATATAATTTCCTGAATGATTTTGATTTCCATGGCTTCTCTCTTTTGTCTGATTTTGTGAAAGAGACTCAAAAAGGGGTCTGAAAAAAAGCTGAAAGGGCTGCAGATTATTTTCCTCTCTCTGTTCAATCCTTAATTTATCACTTGAATAATGAATTTTATTTAAAGTAGTGGTGGAATCAGTTGTAGTTGCCATACCTCAGCCCATTTCCATATTTGTGTAACTGATCTTTGCTTTTGGATCAATGTTGGTTTAAGGCTCAGTAGGCTTGTGGAGGATTATATATATTATATATAACAAAAGTATTTGTTGTGGCTGTTGATTATAATAACTTTTTTTTCAATAGGACTTTTTATGAATTTTTGTATTGCTTAATATTAATTTTCAACATTCAACTGGCCAACAAGAATTCCCATCTCTTGCACAATCTCACACTTGGCTACAACATCCATAACAACTATTTGAGCACTTTCCACACTTCAGATGCCTTGCTGGACATGCTCTCCACTGGAGAAGCCAATGTCCCCAACTACAGCTGTGGAAGGAAGGAGAACCTCCTGGCTCTTCTTGATGGAGCTAGAAGGGGCATCTCCATCCAGATGTCAACATTAGGAGGCACCTACAAAATCCCACAGGTTTGTGTGTGTTTTTCTCCCTCTGGTAAAGTGAGAGGTGGGTGGTGGTGGATGAGCAATAGATGCAATCATGTCTTCTCCATGGAATCAAAGAGCTGCTTTTCTCCATATTAGCAAAAATTACAATATTTTACCCCATTATATTCGTGTTGAGATTAATCATAAAAGGCCTGAAATGCAAGCAATACATTCCCTGGAGAAGACATTCTACCAACTATTTAACTGATCAAAAAATATCCCTGGTTGTTCGAGCCTCTGTTGGCATCTTCATTTTCACAGATAAATAATGCCTGCCCTATCCAGTCAGATTGAAATTGGCAATAGTAGTATTTTATCTATATCTAAAATGTGGAATAAAAATTACTCTAGCAATTATAGGCCAAATAGACTAGCAGATACTGTGGCTAAAATTTATGCCATGATCCTCTTAGTTAAGCTTGAGAAAAATTCATTCCTTGCAGAAGGTTTTAGGTAGAGTTAAATGCTATATTGATTTTGTAAGAAATAATGCATAAATTAATAATCTAATATTGGCAACAAATTTGTCCTGAAATATCTAATCTATATCAGTGAGATAAAACAAGGTTTGCTGCTTTCTAGATGTTAGTGCAGCATTTGACTCAATAAACAGAGAAATATGATGGAGAAAATGTTTTGCCCTCAAAATGCAGCTCAGCCTGTTGGCCCTGATCCAAGCCCTTGTTTGAGAGGGAGTTTTGGGCTCAATGGAGCCATGAGAAGAAGGATCTATGCTTATCAAGGGGGAAGGGAAAGATGCATATTTGAACCTTTGTTCTTCAGTATAGATTTGAATGACTTACTAGGACTAATGCAGGGTCAAAAAACAGATCATAAATAAAAGTTATATCATTCTTTGACAAAAGTGACTAAATCAGTGGACCAATAAAATGCAGTGCATGTAGTATACAGTACTTGGATTTCAGAAAGGCTTTGACAAAGTAAACCACAACCTATTTCTCCGGAAGCTGAAAATATGTGGGATGGACAGCATCACCCCCAGATGGGCTCAGCCTGTGGTCCTCAATGGAACTACGTCTGCATGGAAGGAAACAAGCAGTGGGGGGACCCCAAGGTTCCATTTTAGGCCCAGTTCTCTTCAACATCTTCATGAATGATTTGGATGAGGGGAGAAATGGGGAAATCATCAAATTTGAAGACAACACTAAAGTGGCAGGAATAGCCAACACCCCAGAAGATAGGCTGAAGATCCAGATGGATCTAGGTAGACTTGAACCCTGGGCCTATCTAACAAAATGAAATTTAATGTAGAGAAAAGTAAGGTTTTATACTTAGGCTAGAAAAACCAAATGTCCACTTACAGATGAGGTGAAACCTGGCTCAATAAGTGTAACTGTGAGAGGGATCTTGGAGTCCGAGTGGACAATCACTTAAATATGAGCCAGAAGCAGCCAAAAAAAGTCAATTCAGTCCTAGGTTGCATTAACAGAGGGATAAAATCAAGATCACATGAAGTATTGGTACCGCTTTATAATGCCTTGGCAAGACAACACTTGGAATAGTGCATCCAGTTTTGGTCATTGATTTACACAGATAATGTGCAATTATCATACTTACACACTGGATTGTATAGACTTGGATTGTTTTGTCTTAATATTATTTGATAATTTATAAACAAGTTCAAAAGTTATGGTCTTTGGGAAATGACATCATAACCATAAATGATCAGCCATTAGAGCAAGTAACACCTTTCCTTACCTGGGGTTGTTTTCTCTGAACCTGAATCTTGACTCCCTCATCATCCAAGGAGCTCAGTTAGAGAAAGGGCAGGAGTGAAAGTGATGCTTAAATGAAAACCTCTTAGCTCTCCAGCTTCCTCAGCCCCAAACTATTAAAGTATCTGAGGCCCAGTTTTCCCCCATATTCTTACATCAATCTGATGTTTGGGGCTCCAGAGAGAAACCACCAGCAGAACCAACCCAATCTCAGCCTCTGAGGAGGTGGGTAAAAGGACTCCAGCTGCTGCCCTCAGAGCTGATTTGGGAATTTACACAATTTCTGCTTTGTCTAAATTCAGAAAATATGGCTATTATTGGCATAAAATTTAGTCTATGAAAACTGACAGACTCTGAAAATTGTGGCTGTTGGAACAGACAAAACTTCAGTTAAAGACCAAACTTGGATTATGCAATTGACAAATCTTATTAGGCTTTGAGGTCTGCCTGTTTCTTGTATAACTGGAGAAAGAAGTTAAAAAATTTCCTCTAGAAAGAATCTGGGATAGAGAAGTAAAAAAAGATGCAGCAATCCTCGAAAATTATAATAGGCCCTTTATTGGAATAGAATCCTCCAGTTGGCATTTGCACGCGTTAATCTAATTGTGATAAATTGTAGGGGTGATACAGTAATATGGTTTACATTTTTATTGTTTTAATTTGCTTATTATTTTCCATTATTATGATACAATCTTGCTAATATTCTGTCTTTAATATTTTAGACAATGTCTGATTAACAAACTATTCTAATACATTCATGAGAACCAGGTTGGATTTATTAAAATCTAATATTTTGGACTTGATCTGATCCCAAATGTAACACAGCATTCTTCATTGCTTTTTCAGATCAGTCATAAAATTGTTTCAGAGGCTCTGAGTGATAAAAGGAAATTCCCCTTTTTCCACCGGATGAATCCCAAAGAAGGATTCCAGTACCCAGCAATTGTCCAACTGCTCCTCCATTTCAGATGGACCCTGATTGGCCTCTTTGCTTCAGACACAGAGAAGGGAGAGAATTTCATGAGGATTTTTCCTCCTATGCTTGTCAGGAGTGGAATTTGTGTTGTTATATCACAACTATTCTCAACAACTGGATACACAACAGTATCCCTGAGGAAGCCCCTCTCTGAGTGGAGACAAGTCAACGTCTTTGTTCACTTCATAGAAAATGTTTCCATTTGGGAGAGAATTCTTCCTTTCCATGAAACATTTATGCGTCTGCCAGGACCCATTGAAGGGAAAGTCTGGATCCTCACAAATTTTTTTGGGTATACAATGAACAAGCGTAGACTTCTCAAATACATCCATAGTATTTGGAACTTTGGTTATCTGGGGAAAAAAAGGCCAAAAGATTCTGCCTTTGAACCCCATTTCTTTGTGGAAGAAAAGTTTCAAGATCCTTATTTTCTCTGTTCTCTTTCAAAGAACGTCTTTTCTGTCAAAGGCCGCAGAAGATGCACCCAGAAAGCCCCACTGGAGACCCAGGAGAAAAGGAACAGAAAAAGGATCCCAAATCACTACCATGATTACAGTTTCATGAAGACTCTGGCCCAGGCCTTGAATGCCGCTTATTCCTCCAGATCGAGGAAGAGAAGGAAGGAGGGAGAAAAGACTTTGGGGTCTCCAAGGCTGCAGCCGTGGCAGGTATGGGATCCCGATATGGATCCATTAATCTTAGATCCTTTGGAGGAGGAATCCAGAGGAGGAGGAGGGGAACCAACTCAGCATATCTGTCTAATTCAATTACTCAGGAAATAATGGTTCCAAAGAGTAGATACCATGGCATTTTAATATTACACACTACTCATTTAAAAATGCTGTATTCTTTCTTAAATGAATTCCTGTATTTGTGGGTGTGTGATGAGCATGGTGGATTTCCCCCACAGCAGGTGGGTCTGTGTGCAGCTCAACAGGCAGCTAAACCCTCCTCTTCTCCTCCAGTGAAAGGGAGCCTGGAGTGGATCTGGGTGTTTCATTGGGAGAAGAGGGCACGGAAAATATAAATATAAACAGGAGATAGGCAGCATTAACTAACAGCCAACAAAGAAGCAGCTGGAACCTCTCTAGCGATGCTCCGTGTGAGGGATGGAGGCCGTCTCTGGATGACCATGTGTCTCGGTCAGGGGTGAAATGCTCCCGGTTTGGACCGGATGGCGGCGGGTGGTTCGGAGAACAGGTAGCAAAAATCCCTGCGCACCCCCCAACCACCACCACCATGCCCAGCTGAGCCGCAGGATCATCAGAGGCTTTTTTTTTTACTTTTAAAAGCATTTTTTCTACAACTTCTTCCGCTGAAAAAATACTTTTAAAAGTAGAAAAAAAGCCTCTGATGAGCGCACGGCTCAGGTGGAATCGTCAGAGGCTTTTCAAAGCAGTTTTTTCTAGAGGTGGTTAAAAAAATGCTTTGAAAAACCTCTGCCGATCCGGAAACACAGCTGGCATTGTCAGAGCTTTTTCAAAGCATTTTTTTAAACCTCCACTTCCCCGGAAGAGGTTGCAGAAAAAAATGCTTTAAAAATCTCTTTGACGATCCCAGCTAAGTTGCCTGATGGTCAGATAGGCTTTTTAAAAATTATCTGATGATCAGACAACTCAGCTGGGATCCATCACCTTCAGGTTTCATAGGAAAGATTTAAAAGGGTTAAAAATTATTTGTGTATCATTTTGAAGACAGTTTTATCCACTTATTATCCAGACCTCAGGTTTCTAATCACATCACACAATTGTTTGTGAGTCCTTTACTGAAATCCAGTGATATCACCAGAGTTCCCATCATCTATTTAGGAAGTGTAATGATGGGTGAGAATGACTTTTGGGATGAGGGGAAGAGAGGCTGCCTAGGGAAGGATCAGAGAAGAGGGGAGAATCCTGCAGCTGCATAATGGGAGAGAAAGAAACTCAGAAAGGATCCTGGCTAACTTTTCAGGCTGAGAAAAGAGTTGGTGGGAGATTTGTTCTTTCAGATCTGCAACATTTTGTTAATGTCACATTACAATCAAGTAGAATTAGCACATCTGGAGGTGTTTTCCATCAGGATGACCAGGGAGAAGATTAGCCTGACAACTTTCTTCTTGATCAACCCATGCCTTCTGGGAATCAACCTGTTGTTTTCAAAGAATTTATGAATCATCTTTTTTTCCCTCTCTTCATTTTATTTGTCATCTGCTCTAGAATGTTCCCTATAATTGATCAATTGTGTCAATTATATTTTCTCTATATTTTGTCAGTATATGATTGACAAATTTTTCTCAAACTTTTTCATTCACTTTTGAAGATAATGGCAGTATTTGTATCCTAATTAACCATATTTGGAGATTAGACAATTGTAGAAGAAAGATTTAATGTGGGATAAGAAACAAAGTTTTCTGTTTTTCAAATTCCTGGATGTTCCCATTCTAGTTTCATCCCTTTCTGGAGAAGAATGAATTTTGGAATATTTCCAGCATTAAACTGTACTTGGACCAAAATGGAGAGATAACAGCAGATCTGGGCATTAAAATTTTCTTGGTTCTCCCCAAGGAGGATGTCAGGAGAGAGATTCTGGCGTATTTTGAAAGACAGAGATTTACTATCCACCAAGATGCTCTTTCACGGCTAAAGTTGCTTAATAAGGTGGGAGAAATTTTGATGCCTTTTCTCTGTTTTCCAAAGCCTGAGGTCCCATTTCCAGTGGGCAAAGCCTAGAGTCTCCAGGGTGGTTGGCCTCCCATGCCAGGTGGTGTCATCTAATGGATGTTCTTCAACAGAGGGGACCTATCGTATTTTTTGGAGTATAAGACGCTCCTTCCCCCCCCCAAAGAGGCTGAAGATTTGGGTGCGTCTTATACTCCAAATGTAGCTTTTTTAAAGATTTTTTTTCAGCCCTAACGAGTCGCCAGCCGAATGAAGCGATCTCCCCCCGTGCTTTGCCTGCTTTTCTCATTGCTGCTTCCTTTCAGCTGTGCCTTAGAACCTGTTTTTCATCCCCAAGCAGGGAATAAAAAACCAGCACACTAATGTGCTGAGCTGACCAGACTAAGGACGCTAGCCAGATGAATACCTGGTAGGCAGATTCCCGCCCCCCATTTTCCTCCCCAAAAAGGAAGCTGCGTCTTATACTCCGAAAAATACGGTAAGTGGAGTGGCTTTGCCATGTTTTATGGAAACCTTTCAAGATCTTACTGGTCAGAGGTTTCTTTCTTCATCACAGTTTAATTTCGTATTAAAAAATCTAATGGAATAAAAGTTTCCTAAATATTTTACAGTAAACTTTCTTCTCGGTTTTAATAAAATATATCATCATACATAAATCTTTTTTCAATTCCATCCCTCCTGACTTTTATTAAGTAGAAAAGTACTTTATTGTAATGTTAAATTCCAAAAGCAAAAGGGAGGAACTAAAGGAAGAATCTGCCAGTTGTTTTACCTCCTGCATCTGTTTAGAAGTAGTCAGAGGTTTCATATTTACCTCAGTGAAGACCAGAGGCTACTTGTCTCCATCCATTTCTACCTCCATTTTCCATGGACGGAGAGTCCTAATCTCTTTTCTTTGGCATTCCTTTTCTTCTGCTCAGTCTCTGCCTCAGTCCAAATGTGTGGAAAGTTGTCATCCTGGATTTGTCAAGAGGGCTCGAGAAGGAGAGCCAGTTTGCTGCTATGACTGCGTTCCTTGTCCGGAGGGCACCTTCTCCACTCAGGAAGGTGGGTCACACTGAGGAAAATGGAAGGCTTTGTGGAACTGGATCCATCCAGAACCTTTTCATGAAAGTGCAAGTTAAAAGACAGATTGAAGTTCACCTGCTTTTTTTTTCATTTTTTTTTTAAAAAATATAAACTTTATTAACACAAATATAAAACACATATAACACATATAACAAAAACATTAAAATACATTATACAATAAACAATTATAAGTAATCAATCATTTGAAGCGTTTGTTTCGTAATGGTCTTTCAAGTAGTACAGTAATGCTTATTCCCCTAAATCTTAACTTAATAATTTCTTTTTGCCTTTTCTCCCTCTCCTCTCTTCTCCTCTCTAAGACGTCTGCTTTAATAATCTGTATATTATATATTGGGATTATACCTTTGCTTTCTAGGCTTCTCTTTGTAAATTTATTTGCCCATGAAAAAGGGTTGCATACACGCTTGTATTTCTATTCTATCTAACTTCCAATTATATTTCTTCCGTAATAGCCGTATGCCATTGATACCATTTGTTCCAGACTTTATAAAATTCTGTGTCTTCTTTTCCCTTTAGCTCTTTTGTCAGCCTGTCCATTTCAGCACACTGTGTAATTTTATCCATTGTTTCTTCTTCTGTTGGGTTTTTTTCCAGTTTCCAATTTTTGGCATATGTTATCCTTGCTGCCGTTAAGATGTGTATTAACAAGTATTTTATTTCTTTGGGGTAAGTTTTAGTAAAAATTCCTAACAAAAAGGTTTCGGGTCTCTTATCTATTTGTAGTTTAGTGATTTGTTCTAGCCATTTCTTAATATTGGACCAAAATTTCTTTGCCGCTGGGCAAGTCCACCATAGGTGATAAAAGGTGCCTTGTGGGTTTTTGCATTTCCAACACACTGAACTGTTTTTCGGGTTTATTTTGGCCAATCTTGTGGGTGACATATGCCACCTGTAAAACATCTTTAGCTGGTTCTCCTTGTATGCCACCGCCAATGTTGTTTTTGTATTCAGTTGCCAGAATTCTTCCCATCTCTCCAGTTCTATTGAATATTTAAAATTTTGCATCCATTTAATCATCGTGTTTTTAACTACTTCCTCCTCCATCTTATATCTCAGCAGAAATTTGTAAATTTTACTAATTAGTTTCTCTCCAGAATCTAAGATAATTTTATCTAGTTCCTGTTTTTCTTTACATATTTCATACGTTTTTATGTATTCCTTGTGTTTCGATTGTATCTGTGAGAAGGTCCACCAATCCATTTCTCTATTTAACTCTGTTTCCAATTGTTGTTTGGATTTCAGATTTCCTTGATGATCAATCAGGTCTTTATATCTAATTATATTTTTGGGTTCTATAAGGTTAGGATGTTTTAAGGCTTCTAAAGGTGAAAGCCAGATCGGGATTTTTGTATATTGTTGTTTTGTAATTTTTAACCAAATTATTAATAAAGCATTTCTAAGTGTGTGTCTTTTAAAATAGGTGTGTGATTTATACTTTTCATCCCATAAGAAGGAGTGCCAGCCCATTTGTAGGTCATGGCCTTCAATAGATAATATTCTGCTATTGTTCAATTCCATCCAGTCTTTAATCCATACTAGTCCCGCCGCTTGGTAATGAAGTTCCCAATCCGGGAGTGCTGTTCCTCCTCTTTCCTTAGAGTCCTGGAGTAATTTTAATTTTATTCGTGGACGCTTCCCCTGCCATATAAATTTGGAAATCATCTTGTTAAGGCTCACAAAAAATTTTTTATCTAATTTTATTGGGGCAACTTGGAACAGGTATAGCAATTTGGGTAGTGTATTCATTTTGATAGTGTTAGAGTTTTTTTAGTCTTACTTAACGTTTTTAGTCCAATTTCTTCAGTGTCTTAAATATGGCTGCTCCTTCCTTCCATTCAAATCCACATATCTCCTCCTCCGTCTTATTTTTATCGCTGCAGTCGTTAATGTCACCAAAAGGCAGCTTGGTGTTCCTTCAATTCGCCTTAACTCTCAAAGTTCTGTTCTTTATTTATTTATTTTGTACTTATTCCTCCACCACTTGGCTGTTTTTCAGAGTCTTAGAGTCACATGTTTCAATACAGCTTAGTCACTCCACGAGGTTATACTTCCTCTCGCTGCTGCTGCTCTGTCCAGGCTTATGCGCTTCTGTCGTAGGTCACTGCCACAAGTTAAATCCTCAAATTGCGCCCCTTCTCTTCAGCGTTCCTTCTCGTCTCGCCAATTCTGGGGATTCTCCGCTCTGCTCTGCCACTCGAAACTGCTTTCCACTATTAGCTTTGCTCTAGACGGCTGCCATCATTCCTGTCTGCCCTAGGGCAGACTTCTTCTCCAACAGATTCGAGGAGTTTGTTTTGTGTCCCCTCTGACGCTAGCGCTGCGTCCAGGGGCTTTAAGGCTTCCCCTCTTGGTTCCCGATCTCTATGGGATTGGAAAAACTCATAAAGAGCTTCTATTAGAGAATGCTCCAGAGATGGCAGCTGCTGTTTCCTCGCCCCGCTCACGATGTCGTCACCGCTGGAAGTCCATTTCCACCTGCTTTTTTTTTAACCTGCACAATTTCTTATCTAAAAGGAAGTAAATCAAAAAGACTTGGAAGGAGGGGCTGGGAAGAGATGGGAGGAGGGGGTGGCAGACTGGTCAAGCTTTACTAACAGCAGAGGAAACATCTCTTCTGCTTTTTAGTTTGGATATGTGCTGCTAAGTTTACCTTTCTTTTTTTTTTTTGGTAATATTTTTTTCCAAAAGACTAATATGTGGTCAAACAGACAGTGTCATTAATTATAGAAATTGGATTAACAGTTCGTATAAACACCACACTATATACATATACATATAAATACCTCTTCAACTTCCATATAAATATTATCTATTTTTATTTCTGTTGTCTATCCACCTATATACCATTTTTCCCACACCGCATAGTATTCTGAATTATCTTTTTCTCTTAATTCTAAAGTTAATTTGTTCATTTCAGCACATTCGAATACTTTTTGAATAATCAGTCCATCTGATGGTAGGTTGTGTTCTTTCCAATATTGCGTGAATGTGATTCTTGCTGCAGGAAGTATATGTAGAATTAAGTATTCTTATTTCTAAGTTTTCCTTTCTAGGAACATATGAGTTCTTTGAAACTTGATGAATTGTTTTAGGTCCACCTTCTGAAAGACCTTACAATCCACTGTATATTGGATCCTCCCCTTGAGGATCACTGAGAAGGTGTCACTGGGCCATAATCTGATGCTGTGGATAGTTATGGGGGGAACTCATTACACAAATAGTCTGCCAGTCATGTAGATCAATCAATCAATCAATCAATCAATCAGAATAGAATAGAGCTGGAAGGGACCTTAGAGGTCTCTGTCCACCCCCTATATCCATGATGGCGAACCTATGGCATGCGTGCCAGAGGTGGCACACTGCACCTTCTCTGATGGCACGTGAGCTGTCGCCTCAGTTCAGCTCTGCCACACATGCGCATGTGCCTCCAGCTGGCCATCTGGTGTTCGGGTCTCTGCTGTGCATGTGCGGGGGTGGGGCATGTGCAGGTGTACATGCACATGCACAAGGGTGTGTGGGGGTATGTTCGCATGCGTGGGGGGCACATGTTATGCACTGGGGCACACGCCATCCACGGCGTACACACACAGGGGCCATGTGTGCATGCCCAAGGTGCAGGGTGCATGCAGGGGGTCATGTGCACACACTTTGGGCACTCGGTCCGGAAAAAGTTAGTCATCACTGCCCTATACCATTTCAGACAAGTGACTGTCCAGTCTCTTCTTAAAAACCTCCAATGTTGAAGCACCCACAACTTCTGGAGGCCAGCTGTTCCACTGGTTAATTGTTCTCACTGTTAGGAAGTTTCTCCTTAATTCCAGGTTGCTTCCAGATGTTACAAGATACTATAGGTATCCTCCAAGTCCAGGATATGCCATGTGGCAGGATTCAGGATGTTTGCCTAAAAAGATTATATAATTTATTAACCTCTAACAATATAGGTTCCTATGAAGATTCTACACATTACACAAATAATTAACATCCTAGGACTTCCCTCAACTTCATATACCTAGCTACATTTTTTAATAAAAAAAAATATCCTTCTTATGCTCTTTTTAATGAAATAGCTAAGAAATACTTCTTGGAAAATGCCCATGGTAACAGCTGTCATCCAAAAATGGTATTTCTTGAAATGTAAAAAAAACAGTATATTAAAGACATATTGTTTTTTGGCTTTCTCAGATACACAAAAATGCATCAAGTGTCCAGATGATAAATATCCAAATGAGGCCAGAGTCCAATGTATCCCCAAAGTCATATCCTTCCTGTCTTATGAAGAACATCTGGGCATCATCCTGGTCTCTTTTGCCCTATTCTTGTTCTTAATCACAGACCGTGTTTTAATCACATTCATTAAATACAGAGAAACTCCCCTTGTCAAAGCCAACAACCGGGACCTCTCCTACATCCTCCTGGTCTCCCTCCTGCTTTGCTTCTTGTCTCCTCTTCTCTTCATTGGTCAACCAAGGAAAGCCACCTGCCTTCTCCGACAAACAGTTTTCAGCCTCATCTTCTCAGTTGCCGTTTCTTCTCTCTTGGCCAAAACCATCATGGTGGTGCTAGTCTTCCTGGCCACAAAACCAGGAAACCGAGTGAAGAGATGGTTGGGGAAGAGCTTGGCCAACTCCATCATCTTCTCTTGTTCTGCAGTCCAAATTATCATCTCCTCCACCTGGCTGGGAGTTTCTCCCCCCTTCCCTGACTCTGACCTCCACTCCCAGCCTGGAGAGATCATCCTGCAATGCAACGAAGGGGCCGTTGTCATGTTCTACGTCACCCTCAGCTACATGGGCTTCCTGGCTGCCATCTGCTTCACGGTGGCTTTCCTGGCCAGGAACCTGCCTGGGGCCTTCAACGAAGCCAAGCTGATCACCTTCAGCATGCTGGTCTTCTGCAGTGTCTGGGTGACTTTTGTGCCCACCTACCTGAGCACCAAAGGGAAATCCATGGTGGCTGTGCAGGTCTTCTCCATCCTGGCCTCCAGTGCTGGTCTGCTGGGCTGCATCTTCATCCCCAAGTGCTACATTATCCTTCTGAGGCCAGACCTCA